GCTGAGGAAGTACTGAGCTTTACTCGGATTATACTTTATACTGATGTGATTGTTAGACTGACGGCTATATGCGGATTGAGGATAAGATTGATACAAGGAAATGTAGAGAATTGGGGTGTGTGGGTGGGGGGGGGGGTTAATGAACTTTTTTTCTATTTCTATAATTATTACTATGTACTTAATTGTGATTTGAGAGAAATATTATATTATCCATGAACTTAGTAGATATATTTTTTGTAGCATGTTACTAATTATATGATAATAGAAGAGCGAGAAGGTGAAAGTGAGAATTTTATTTTGTTATAATGGATTAGAAAAAATAAAGATAACTAATATAAACTGGAATACCTAGCATGACACACTTAACATAAAAGTAAAGAACAAACTTGGAATTTACCTTTTGGGTAAATTTTTTATCTAATAAATATATTATAACCTCCCTAATGTTAAAACTATATTCTAAATTTGCACATAAAACTACCAGTAGTTATTAAATATCATTCATTATCTTAAATTATAAAGTAAATAGAACTATGTTTTTTAAGTTTAAAAAAATTGTATCTTTTGGGTATTCCATGATTTGCCAATGTTCACAAAATAACCCTGAATTTTTTCACAAACAACCATGGATCTTCATAATTTTCACAAAGACCATTAAAATTTCATATATTTATAGAAAAATACTAAAACTTCATAATTTTTTACAGATAAACCCCTATATAGTTCAAAACTTAAATCTTAAGAAGATTGAAAGAAGTATATGATCTAAATTGTTAGAAAATTACAAATAAGTCCTTAAATGTTGTTATAATTACATTCAAAATGAAACTCTTCCATTAATTAAATAATGAATTGTGTAAAGTATTAGAACATAAAACAAATATGTCCACGTGCAACACACGTGCACTATACTAGTAAATTAAAAAGTACTAATTAAGGAACATAGCAATGATATGTACTACTGAAAACTAGTAAAATTACCTACAACTAACTCACAATAAAATTTCAAGATTCTCTACTTATCATCTAACACTTTTTTTTCGATGAGAGGAATCTTGGCTAGGACTATCAGGCATCAGAAAGGAGCTCAAATTCGACCTCTCGACTCGGCCAATTTATAAAAACAACACGGGAGCTCATGGATAAGTCACCTTTTCCTACACGCAATGCAATAAACTTGGAAGAAAAATTCCATTCTGCCTTCTAACTGGTCCCCCGCCAATATCTATTTTTGTCTTTGTTTTTGTTTTTGGCTCGCATCAAAGACCAAATAGCCTAGTCCATCCCAACTTGAATAGCTAGTGAATAAAATGGAGAAGGAAAAAGTTTTCTAACTTTTAAAAGTTAAGGAGATATTCTTCAATCATTTTTGAGAGTGTGATTCAGCAACCAATCATAGATACCCACATGAAGCAAAGGATCTTTTATTTCAACTTTTCAAGGTCTATTCAGAAAAGATGATGAGAACTAAGTTCACCTAACATCTCCAGACCTTTGGCTCAAAAGAAAAATATGCCCAAAAGCATGATTGGCTACGGGGTGCATTGGGAGAAAATGGGATTTCTCATAATTTACTCAAAACATTATTAACATCAAACTTCGAGACCATCTATAACTTAATGAAGATCAACCTCTAATCATTGTTACTCATTTCGTCCCTTCTCTAAGCCGTATCCCACATGGATTCGGATCCTCTCCACTACAAAAAAAACAGTGGAGGGACCACTACATAATCACGGCCATTGATTATCTAATTAATGGTTGTGATTTTTTTCTTTTAGTGTAAATTAGGAATGAGTACAATACACGGGGGTATGGTAAGTGTTAGATTTAGATTGTATCATAACCGTCTACTAAATAATCAACGATTGAGATTAAAAACAGTGATCTCTCCACTACTTTTTTGTAGTGGAGAGGATCCAAATCCTATACACATTTGTCTTCATTTGCTATATGCAGAGGTTTAAGTACATAGATTCTATCTGATTTTATACTTAAATTAGAAGCTACCTTTTCACAGGTTTAAGTACATAGATTCTATCTGATTTTGTACTTAAATTAGAAGCTACCTTTTCATTTATTATCCAACGCACTAATTTTTAATCCTTTTAATTTATTATGAATGCACTTAATTTTGATCTCCGACTGATTTGCCTGTTATCCATCTAAACATCTTGAATATTTTCATTTATTCTACCATCTTTTTTTTCTTTTAATTGCAGCTCATTGATGGATTGTTGATTGTTGGTCATATTGTTGTCCTGAGAAAATTTCCTCCAATATTCAAGACACGGTTCCCTCCTAATTTTTATCATTCAGTTGACAAAGGCAATCATTCAATTGATAAGTTGAGGCCATGATAACTTTATATTCACAACATCCAACAGCTCTTTCCCATAAGATTTCACAAAGAAGCACATTGAATTACAAAGGTCTGAACTGAACTCAGTAGTTCAAATCACAATCTCAAGAACAAGACCTTATCAGGCCCAGGTTTGAAAGGAACTTCTCAGACCTTGATCTGAAGAGGTTTCCAAAAGAAAACCTCCCCTCATCCTGACTCGAAGAATTCGAACCAAATTCATCTTTAACACGCAAAACAGTATCCCCAATCTCAGTCCTCACAGCTTCGATCGTCCTCGGCTCAACTGGGTTCGATCCCGATGCATTAGTAACATAGAAAACATTCACAGCTTGAGATCCTCTTGTGGAGACTTCAGCTTGAGTCACACTTAATCCATGCTCCCTGAAGATTCTTGTGACATCCGATAACAGGCCTACTCGGTCCTCCATGCACAGCTCAAGCCTTAAGCCCTGAGATATAAGGCATGTTTCAATTTTAATTTTACAGAAAAACTATAGGGTACATGCATTGCGAGAAACCCCCTTCAAATAAATCATCCCCTCATCTACAAAGTTCGAAAAAAACCCTCGTCATTATAGTTAATGAAGTCATTAATTGTTTTCGAATTTTATTTTTACCATATCTGCGTAGTTTTTTTGCGCTTGAGTAGAGGTCTAAAAAGACATCTACACTCTGCAATTCACCAGATTCTGGAGAGTTGAAAAGAAGAAAATAGAGAAATAGTCAGTTTTGTATAAAGAAAAATTCTTATTCGTTTTTTTTATCAATAAACCTAGAATTTTGCATGAAGAACTTCTTATTAGCGATCATAGGTGAGGGCGTTTCTTGAAAATCAAAGTACAGATGAAGGGGGTTTTCTTGCAAGTAACTCAAAAGTATAGATGTCGGTATATACTTCAGTGGCTCGTCTTCTGATTGCTGCTTCCAAGCAGTCGGTTAATCGTTGTTTGTCCCTTTCGGAGCTGACCGCTCGTCCTTCCATGTCCCTTATGTAGTATTCCTGCAAAGTTGGAAGATAGAATAGGGGAAATTATCAGTTACGTAAGATGGTAATATTTTCAGAATTGGATGTACTTGCAGATGCTAATGCAATGTACATGTAGAATATGCAAAACTACTCTTGCTAGTAAATTTAGAGTCTTTGTGATCCTTTTGGGGTCTTAATTTATCAGTGAAGTTGAAATTTCAGAAACAAAACTATTATGGTAGAAGCATATCCATAAGATGTTGCTTTCAGAAAGCTTTACCTGATAAGCTTCGGGTCCTTCGGAGATGACAGTGCCATGGAACACAACATATTGCATATCGGTCAGAGTGCAGACAGTATCAAACAAGAGCTTAGGTCGATCCTTACACCTGACATACACAACAGTATACTCTTTCTCGACGCAATTCTCTACCGTGACACAAGAACTACTTCTGTCACCACCACCAAATTCCTCCTCATCATCACTCCTATTGTAGTCTCTATCAGCATACATCATTTGATGCAGTCTCCTCTGAGTATGAGTCATGCCCACAGTAATAGAAGTCTTTCCACTTCTATCTCTATTCCCCTTGAGGACGTAACGAAGGAGCCTCTTGATTGTGCTAAGCCTGTCAGGGTTATCAATGGGAGCTCCAGTGGATTCATCGGTTATGTAAACTACAGAGGCCATTCTTGAATTGTGTGTCCAGACCTCAGAGGCGACGATGTTGCATTTGAGGTCTGTGAGGACCGCAAAGATCTCTGAGAGGAGTCCTGGTCGGTCTCTGCCAATGAGTTCGATTGAAGTGTGGTTTGATGCAGATTGGACACCGACCGACCTCTTCAGCGAGCGGAAGCTGGACGCTCTTGCTGCCAATGACTGCAAACGTGTAGGTAGAGACTGAGATGAGTGAGATTCTTTAAAAAAAGAAACTCACCAGAAGTTCCTGAGTCAATGCTCATTTCAACTCTTTTTTTTAAAAAGGAACCATAGGTATTAAATCTATTCTCAATTGAGACAGCTGATTGGTTTGATTTACTGAAACAACCGCACTATCATGAGAGACTACTCTTTACGGTACCAAAAATTTGACAATCTATTTGAATCCATTCGAAATTTTAAGACATAAGAAATATTTTTCAGAATGGAAATTCACCAAGCGAAGCAAACTATTAATTTGACATGGATAAAAACTGGCCCAAATCACAAACATAAGCACGGACAATTTGGGTTTCTGAAGAAATTTAACCTGCTGAATGCGATCAATAACTTCTTCATCATAAAGCTTATTTCCATCTTGGTCCACAACATGGAAAACTACAAGATAAAACAAGAGGAACACAGATTATGGACTTACAAAGACTGGCAAAAAAAAACCCCCCATATAAGAAGCAAAATCAGAAGAAAAATCCACTGATTTTAATCTAAGAAAGAAATTACCATCCATAAACCAGCTCCCATCAGAGGAGATGTAAGCCCTTTTGATGGTGATGTTGAAATCAGTGAAAACCTGAACAACCTCCAGCAGACTCCCATGTTTATTAGCACTATCCACCTGCATATTAAAATAAATGCATACATAAACAGTTGAGAAGAAAATTTTCAAAGTTCCACAAAAGCCCACGACACAAGGAAAATTAAAAAAAAATGCTAATAATGGTACTGATAATGGTAATAGCTGACCTTCACCAAGGTTGCCTCACTGCTTGTAGAGTTATCCACAGTAACCCTGTGAAAAAACCCAGGAGGAGGATAAAAAAAACATTAAGTTACCAACAACACAAAAGCCTGCAGGGAACCGTCCAATTTTCTACAGACACAGAATTCTCCGATAAATTGAAGGGAGAGGGGGGGTTCAGACCTTGGAGGGTTCATTCCAATGAGAAACTTCTCGTACTCCTCCTCAGCATCAACTGGAGTAAACCCACAATTCATCATGATGAAATTAACAAAAGGATTACAGAGAGAGAGAGAGAGAGAGAGAGAGAGAGAGAGAGAGAGAGAGAGAGAGAGAGGAGAGAGAGAGAGAGTAAGAGAGAGAGAGAGAGAGAGAGAGAGAGAGAGAGAGAGAGATGAGACAGAGAGAGAAGGCTAAGGTTTGCTTTCCCTATTCCCTTGTGTACTGTTTCCCAATCTTCTCAATTTATGTTGAGGGTATGAGTGTGTGTGTGTGCGCGCTCTATTATATGTGGAAGTGTGGTGGGCTCGTGACTCCTGTTGCCTCTTCAGATGATGAAAGGATGAGAGAGAAAGTGAGAGAGAGTAGCAATTTGCTATTTTGATATGAGAGAGAGAGAGAGAGAGAGAGAGAGAGAGAGAGTCACCACTTGAGATGAATCTAGAGAGAGAGAGAGAAGAGAGAGCGAGGGAGGGTGGGAGAGGAAGCAGTAGCAAATTATTAGAAGCATGTTAATTTATGTAAGAGTTTGGACTTTGGAGGGGGGTAAAGATAAATCTCTCACTGTATATCACTGAATCCTCACCAAGATGCACCCTTGTGAGTAGATATCCCATGTGCACAAGGTGGCATGTATTGAACTGTTAATATTACTATTCACTTTCCATAAATTTCTTTTTGTTGTGTGAACGTGGGATTCTCTCTCTCTCTCTCTCTCTCTCTCTCTCTCTCTCTCTCTCTTTTGGGTGCTCTAGCGTGAGATTCATTGAATCATTGAGCACACCTTCACTGGATATTGGGGTGTCCATTTCATTAGCTTAACATATATGGAGCTAGCACGGGATCTTTTAATTAATTTAATGTGAGATTGTATGGATCCATGGAATTTTAATTGCCCAGAAAAGTAGGTCTAGATATCATGATTTTTTCTTGTAGGGATATCGAGTGAGGGAGAGGAAGGATGTTGGTTTCTTGATGCATGGCCTATTGCTTCTTTTTTCTTGCCTTGAAACTTGACAAACTATATAGTACATGTATAATTCAAGAGTATATATGGTTAGGTATCTTATTTCTCACAATAAATTATTTATTTCCTTGTACATGTTCTTGCATTTTCATTTGCATTTATAATAGTATCTTTTAAGGTTCTTAGCATCTTGAAGATTAGGATAATTTGATGAATATTTTACATGTTATTACAATTATTGTGTTTTTTTTCAATTATGGACAAAGTACATCTTATGCGCAATACAGCTGGCAGAGACACTATGTGTACATTCTCAGTATACACAAGGAACGTGTACAATCCAAGTGTTGTTGGCGGGCATTATAATTTGTTTTACTTCACATCATCCAAGAGAAGTGTTAGAAAATCTGATCCCTAGTTTATATAAGGGCTAAATTACCAAATTGGTATTTAAAGTAGACTCTCTTTGCCAATAAGGATTTTAAAAAATCTCGGGTGACATAATGGTATTTTATTTCTACTCTGTTTACCGATAAGATATTATTTCTCAAATTCCGGCAAGAAAGTTTATTTTAACCCACTTACCTCCCAAGATAATTAAATCTATACCCAAAATTATCAAAAAATTGCCTCCCCTCCCTCTCCCTCTCTCTCATCCTCCTCCTCCTCTCCCATTCCATTATCCTTGCCCCCGGTCTCTCCCTCCCCTCCACCCTCCGCCGCCCCATCCATCTCCCCCCCTCCTCTCCTCCTCCGCCACCGCCGCACGATCACGGCTTCTCAAGAATGCCATCACCTCCTCCCATCATGCCCCTTCCCTCTCTTCCCTCCGACTCCTTCTTCTCTCCCTCTCCTCCCTCCCCTTCCTGACCTACATTATCGCCCGCCCCTATCTGGCAATTCACGCCCCGCGCCCTCCTCCATCTCACCTCTTCGCCCCCTCTCCCTCCCCGACCTCCCCTCCCTCCCCGACGACTCCGAGTCCTGTGCCGGATAGCTAGAGAAGGAGCTCAAGGTCGAAGGCGTCAAGCTCCCGCATGTGAACAACACATGCGGTGTCGCCTAATGCTATTGTGGGGTCAGGCTGAAGAGGCTGAGTTGTTTTAGCGACGGGTTTGTCGCTGATGTTACTGTCAAAAATTTGTTGAACAATAGGTTGGTTTCTAAAAAGAGTTAAATGGAAGAGATGGAGAAAAAGATGAAAAAAAAACAATCTTCGGTGTGAATTTAATAATTTTAGAGATTAGGGGGGTAAAAAAAATTTCCCACCGAAATTTTAAGAAAAATGGTCTTATTGATAAGCATGGCCTTACAAGAATACCATAATGTCACGGTAGATGTTTTAAATACCTTATTGGTAAAGTGGGTCTACTTTAAATACCAATTTGATAATTTAGCCTTTATATAAATAAGTACATATTTTAAGTACGAGATTCACAGTACTTATTACGATGAGATTCACAGTACTCATTATGATAAGTAGCCTTCTGCTTTAATCTATTTTAGTGACACAAAAATCTCGCAACTTCTCCAACCGTCTTTAAATCTTTGGAAGTACTGCTCTTTTTAGGGCTTGACGTGGTTTCTTCTCTAATTATTTTTTTTTCCACGGTGACGTAAACTATTGATTAATTACATGAGTACTTTTTCATCCTTTCAATGTTTTATTATGCTTTGGAAGTTCCCTAAACCGCCAAATAATGATTATTTTGAAATTAATATATTCCCATAAGTTGGTATTATAATATAGATATTGACTATCTGAACTCCAAATTGTTGTGATTCTTGGCTCACCAATTGGAGGACATTAGAAAAGTTCTCAGGTACGAATATCACGATTAAAAAGTTAAAAATCTAAGGTAGAATTGGCACCTTGCGTATAGGACGTACTTCACCATATTTAACTATTTTAAAGAATTCAAGTGATCCACTTTCGCGTGAAAGAAGCACCCAAAAATCTCAAGGAAGAGACATATATATGGTTCGGGATATTTTATTTTAAAAAATGCGTCCACTTGAGAAAATTTCTCCGACAGTTTCCCAAACGTTTTGCTATCAATTTACGTCAAAAACATTAATTGCTTCAGCTAAATAGTGGAATAGAAATATATATAGAATCCATGGGTTAGCACTGGAGATTCTTAATTAATTTTGTACGTTATCCATTTCTTTGAGCTCCGTAGCTCATGGCCCAAGCATAGTTTGTGCTGTATGAACTAAAAAAAAAGGTGTAGCATCCTCCAACGTTACACAGCATCAGAGCATAATAAAATTTTTATGAAACGCTAAATTTTCTGAAATCCTAGACTTAATTAGTCTTCCTCCATCATGACCAACGAGCAGAACAGCCGCATCGGTCTTGTTCCATCGTAGCAGAGATATTTCTTTAGCAGCTGTTAGTTTTAAATTGAAGGAGACAGAAATTCTGAGGCGTGAATCACTTTCCTTAAAGAAATATTTGCCCCACTTGATATTCAAAGTTGCTTCGGGTTAATGCAAATTTTCTTCCCAGAATACAACAGAAAATGAAAATTCCAGTAAGTAAATCTGGAATTTTCCTTAATTCGTTGTGAAACAAGTTTGTAATATTGCAGAAGTTTTTGATAGAAAAGATTCAGAAAAGAAATTGTAAATAGATATCTGAAAACATAAACTATTTATAGGTTTTGAAAAGGTGCTTCCAACAGTCACAACTTTTCAAAAACACCCCTTGGAGCAAACAGCCATTTCAACAGTCACTTGTCTTTTCATAATTTTTTTAAAATTCAAAATAACATTTAAAAAAATATATTCAATATATATAAAAAATAGAACATTTAAGCGGCACGCGGTTATAGAAGCCTACACTTTGATCTATTATTCAAAGCCCAATAAGCATTCAATACTTTTAAACCTCTAAAAGAATGTTCAAAATTCTAATGTGGGACTATCTTGTTTTTTTACAAACAAATACTAACAGCAGCAACTATATGATTGATACACAATCACCATATTCTTACGTCCATGTGCGTAGGCTGAGTCCATGGCCGGGCCGGGCCCGGCCCGCCGGGCCCGAAAATCGGGCCCGGGCCGGGCAAGATGGAGCCCCGCCCCGGACCCTGGGTACCCTGCGTCCGGGCCCGGGCCCCAACGGGCCGGGCTTCGCGGGTCGCCCGGATTTTTCGAATTTTTTTCCTTGTTCTTTCTTTTTTTTTATAAAAAATGCTAAAAATTAGTTTAAATTTATTATATTTTATATAATTATGTATTAGTATATACTTACAAATTATTATGTAATTATATATTATATATACATATATTATATATATTATATATACATATATTATATGTAAATATATTGTATATATTTATAAGTTATAACTTGAGAGAGAAAATCGCATAAGTAGCCATTGCCCGTTGGGCCAATGGGGAAGAAGTAGCCGTTGTAATATACTATACTTATATACTAAGAGAGAGAGTATACACTCACATATTATACATATATAAGAGAGAGTATACCTTTATAAGAGGGAGTATACATATTATACATATATAAGAGAGTGTATACCTATATATACTTATATAAGAGAGAGTATACTTATATATACATATATACTAAGAGAGAGAGAGTATACACACACACATATTATACATATATAAGAGAGAGTATACTTATATATACATATATACTAAGAGAGAGAGTATATATATATACACACATATATTATACATATATAAGAGAGTGTATACTTATATATACTTATATAAGAGAGACTATACATATATAAGAGAGATTATACTTATATATACATGTATAGTATAAGAAAGAGTATATATATACATATATACATACATTATACATATATAAGAGAGAGTATATATACACACACATATTATAAATATATAAAAATATATTATATATACATATATTATACATATATAAAAATATATTATATATACATATATTATACATATATAATACATATAAAAATAAAAAAAAACAAATACTATTCTGGGCCGGGCCGGGGC